CCTATGCATCTTTCCTTCTGCTAGAAACCTTACCCCGAACAGCTAAGCAGAATTGCCCACTAATCTAGGTGTGAATGGGAAATCGCTCGCAGGCAAATGAATGGGAATGAAGACTGGAAAATAACAATCTCACTCCCTCAGAAATAACTCATTTACCCCTGACACTTCTAAGCAAGGTCTGTAATATGAACATATCCCAAAGTGGCGGCCATATTGGACGCCATCTTGAATTTTTGCTGAGGTGTACACGGCATGTATGGGGATTTAATATGTTGTTCAGGACACCTTTCTGCATATAGCCTAAAAATTTCTGCTTGTTAACAATTTGTTCCAGATTTGGCCTTATTTTGAGCTAATGCCCTGCATTGGGTACATCCAATATGGCGCCGGTTTACTTAAATCGGCTGCATTTTTGTTAACCAGAGAAGCAATGGCTTGCTCGATCCAGTCTTTGTTTTAAGATCAGTGGTCTGAATCTTTCTCTCGTTCGAATACTGATTTTTTCATGTCCTCTCCGTACTCTTTATATATATTTTATACTGGCATCTGGAAGATGTTTATGCCACGACGATATCGTCTACATTGAGTGAAAACATCATAGGCATCTTTTCCGGTGGCAATTATGGTGTCTCGCGACGCGACGCGACACCAATAGATGTCTCGTGATTGGAGACGAGACAGGCCTCTAAGCTCCGCCCATTTCTGTGACGTAATGGGAATGGTCGCAGTTGACGGCTTGCTATTTTACTGTACTGGTTATTTTTCTTACAGGTAAATAATATTTTGGATGGCTTTTGATATCTTATGGTGGATAGTGCGGCCAATATAAGTATAAATATGCATGAAATATCCGAAGTATGAGGAATGCATCTGGCAACTCGATGAATGTTTACCGCCTGCTCGATTCCTGTCGCGTAAAAGGTGCCGCGTTCCCCGTAACCGCTGGAAAAGATGGCAATAGTCCCCCTTTTAAGATCACATAAGGCTAGACAGGCCTGGGTTTGTGTTTTCTGCTTCAAAAAATGACTGAATAAACAAACGTCACGCAGCTAAAAAAGCTGTAACCGTACAGCAGACTGCACAGCACAGACCGGCTTCTGCTGGTAGGTGGGCCGTTCAAATAAACGTGTATTAGGTTGCGTGCACAGAGAAAGCAGGTTTGCCCGCGCCGGCTACCGGCGCCGACCCGCGCCAAGAATTCAACCATATAAACAAGTGTAAGTGTGCACAGAGGAAGCAGGTCCGAGCGCCGGCAGCCCGCTTCAACCCGCTGTCCTGTTTGCTCCGATCATTCTTGCCTACTCAACCCACGCGGGTGGACGCTATTGGATGTAGAGTAGGATGGATGCTGAGCTCCTAATAGCCAAAGCTTATGAGAGACAGCCAGTGTGGAACAAATGGAAGAAGCCCCACGCCAACAGGAATGGGGCGGATAAGCTGTGAGCTGAAATCAGGAAAATTGGAATGAAATAAAGTATTCGCGAAAGTCATTTCATAAAAATAGTTTCTATGTCCCAAAGGATATTGATAAACGTGATTTTTTTTTATTACCATTCCACTTTCCAGCATTTAGTTCCTTCAAGTGACTGTCACACTATAGTGAGTCGGAACTGGTTACCCGCGTCCTTTTTGTACACCTTATCGCGCTGGTTTCCGATGCCGGCCTGCGCTTGAAACCAGCGCGCCGGTAACCTGCCCTAAAGATGCAGGATCTCCTGGAACGATTCACGATGCAAAGTCAAACGCATTTTTAAGGTATACATAGGTTGCGACAAACTCATGACCAAACTCTAAAGTGACTGAAAGTGAAAGGATACGGTCTGTTGTAAATTTGCCAGGAGTGAATCCAAACTGATTCAGCACCTTGGATTTGTTTACTGAGAGAGGAGGTGGTTAAGTTTGCACAGTATAAGGATCGACAGTTTGAACGAAATAATATTATAAAGATTTAAGAATTACTGACAAATTGATTTCAGTAAATGGAAGAAAAAAATGTAGGCCGCCTGATAAGGTTTGTAAATAAACTAGCATGGTATCTAATCTGAAGAACAAACGTTGTGAAGAAAAATAGAAAAAGGAAGTCAAGCGTAAGATAAGATAATAAGTAACCGAAATAAAATTCCATGTAAAGCAAGATTAACAACAGAAACGAAGAGGAAGAAGAGATAAAAAAGTGCGGTTTTACGAGAACAGATAAAAAGCAAGGTACAGGACACAGTAGTAGCGTGCAAGCAACAGTGAACGGTGATTCAGGTTGGATTTCGAGGTGGTGTGAAATATTCTAGATTGACTATTTGAAATTACAGGTAAGGTCATTAGCGGCTAACACCCCGTGGGATTAAGATTTTTAAATATTTAAAACGTTTCAATATTTATAGATAAATAATGTCTTAACAAATAGACAACATTCTAGGGAATTAAAATATTTTTAGTTGATCTAGACCAGTGGTTCATAATCTGTCGAAGCACCTCCAATGTGATTCCTAAGGGGGGGGGGGGG